TCACCCCCCCCCCCCCCAAAGCTCTTGACCCTGAACTTCAGGTGCTAAGTGTCGCTTTGACTTCTCAGAAGTGAGTCAATACTCAAACCAGCTCAGTGTAACTCCTCCATACTCCGTTGGTCGTGTGCACTGATCATGTGTCCTACTGTACTGCAGACTCAAGGGTAGCCTTACCTTTTTATTCTTTTAGTTCTTTCCATCAGGGAATCTTAAATCACTTTACAAGTGTTAAATAAACCTACCAACACGTAAAATTGATAAAAAGTATTAGACCTATATTAATTATTAAAGCACCACCATGATGCAATTGTATGGAAGATTACCTGATGAGACTAGAATGTTAGGCACAGACCTGTGATTTTTCTAGTTACTGCATTGCTTATCTTCCCTGATGAGATTTTTCGTAGATGAAAACTTTACCAAAATATCCATGGGAAATTTGATTTAGGTCATCACATGATTGACTGGATTTCAGGGCACACTGCCAGGCTGGACAGTAAATTCAATGTGGACGCTTGGCAGGAAGGGTTGTCATGTTCCTATGACCAGGAGCGATATCTAACCTTTCAGTTTCCATCTGCCTTTTAAAAATAAAGTTATTCTTTCAGGAGATGCTTCTGTGCTCTAGCCCTCTTTTTCCATTCTTGCCCCAAAATGTCCAGATTGGTTTGCCATGAGCTTTCAAGAATTGTTTGAGGCAGCCTGTGCTTTCAGCCTGTGCTTTCCAAAATCCGTATCAGGTATTTGCTTTACTTGATGGTAGGGCTACACCTGTTGTGCAGAATAGAACTGTTAGTAAGGGAATCAACTTCATGAAAGTACCTTAGACTTGGATAGACCATTTTACTACACTTTTGGGAACCATGCATGTTTGCTCTTCAGTGAGTCTTCTATTAAATTAAATTTGTTCCAGCATACAAAGTGTATGGCAAAGAACAATTGTTAACAGAGGTGGCATCATCCTTAAAACACAGGTTAAAACTATAGCTGTACAAATGACAGGCATTTCACTCTTAAGTCTTTTAAAAGGAGATAAGCCAAAATTCCTGCATTTGTTCCATAAAGGAATTAAGTGATTACTCCCAGTTTGCCCTGAATGTAACTGAGCTAAAATAATGTGGCTGAATGTGTTGGTAGCAGATGCAGAAAGAATCACTCTGAATAGATTTGGAACCTTTGAATCTAAATAGATTCAAATCAATTCTTCAAATCTGAATAGATTTGAACCTTTGCAAATAAATGACGATTTATGTAGCATCACAGCAACAGCTCAGGTAGGTGGCTACTTGCTCTTCAGCGGTATTATCAAAGGAGGAGGGCCCCTAAACAGTTAGATAGCATGGTGATGACAGAAGATTAGCTATCAAGATCAAGTTGTCAATATATTTTTTTACACGCAAACCAGACAGAATTAGAGGGAGACCTCCTAATGTAAAGCGGAGTAATACAGGTAATAGTAACCTCATGAGGTAAAAGTTAACTCTTCCAAATTTCAGCTATAATTTAAAAAATGCCATAATTAAAGAAAAAGGAAGACATTTCAGAGTTTTGTTGTGACGTTTGTTGATAGAAAAATATTCTGGACAGCCTACAGGTAAATTTCTGTTAACCTACACAACCCTCATGTAAATATATTATTCTTTTCATCTTATTTGACTGTAGGACCAAAGACACGAACAATTTCTCCATTTGACCAGTAGTATATTTTATTAACCTATGGTTTCAGGCAACATTCTGTCTTCTGTTGTGCTTCCCACCATTGTAAGTTTTGTCCAAAGTCTTTCCAGCAAATTTGCCTTTTAAAGAATTAGATGTGATAGTGTTGCAGTTTTTATAGAGCATTGTGGGGTTTTTTTTTTACAGTAAAGATTCACAAACCTAGAGGGCAGAGTAAGGGGAGAAAGTGAACAGTTTTCAAAGTGCCAGCTCAATTAAATTTGTTTCCTCTGCATGATACAGAGAATCTGTCTGATACTGCCTTTCAAATTTGCATCCATAGATTAGGGCCAGTCAGATGGTCTGGCTACAAAACCACTGTATGCCAATCCAATGTAGGATACAAAATCAGGATACATTTTGAAAGTGCCGATCTTGCAGTCTAGGTAAGCATACACCAAGGCCTGAATGTGCTTGTGGAGGGAGCACATTTAAAAGATAAATGCCTACCTCAAAGAATGTTTCCTCCTGTATGGCAAGGTTCATTCTGTAGCATGTAACCTGATAGAGGCAGAATTGAAAAAAAAAAAAAAAACAAAACCAAAAAACCACAACAAAAAAACCAAAACAAAACTGAAAAGAATTGATACAGAACATACTGTAGCCATAACTAATGCCATTTTGTGTGTGTCTTGGCTGTGCTGATTCTGTTTAGTGTTGTGTCCACCAATGAAAAGGGAATGCAGTCCAAAGCTGCTAGTATTAGATCAATCAATCCAACCTACGATTGCATCATTCATCTCCTATATTTACTGAACTCCTATATCTGTGTGGCAGCTCTGGAACTTCCACTGGGATTCACTAGCTGATGTTGATG